TCATTTTGCTTAAAGCAGATTGATAATATATGTCATGTTCCAAAAAATTAATATTTTATAAAATATTTTATTTCTTTAATAATACGTATAATGATAAGAAAATATAATATAATATAAATAATATAATATAAGAATCATAAGACGGCATCGTCGCGTCGCGTGTCGTGAAGAAATCGTGTAATTTCGTAAATCGCACGAGTCTCGCGACACTGTTATTTTATTTCGAACGAGAAGAGTTTAAAAATCCCTTTCATTTTATCTCTAACTTTGTAGGCGGCGCGTTCGAATACGCGACAGACGTATCGCGAGACACTCGGGATTTCGAGGAGTAATTAGCCGCACGATTTTATCATTTCCAATGGAATACATTGAGCTGGAACGGATTTTCTCAGCGGTCTCACCTTGAGACGATCGTTTCCTCTATTTCCCTTGCCGCGCGGAGCTTCCCGCGAACGACCTTATCAATTTCAAATTAAGGACACAGGTAGGTCGCGGAACCGATATCCTAAATCTGGGATGATACAGAAAACGAGTTTGAAAGTTCTAGTCCCGGCTCATTGAAATTCAGATAAAGTACGAAACGTATCGCGCGGCCCGCCGGAAAATCCCGTCGCGCGCGACGAGATTTTTATAAACACTTCGAGAGCACTCGATGGAAAAACCGAAACGCTCCGAACGCCGACCGACGTGCCATTAATAGCAATATTTATCGGCCGAATGAAAAACTATCGTTCGCTCGTTTCAACGTTTGCAACGCGAACCCGTTAACCGACCGATTAATTCACGAGTTCTCCGATTCGAATTGGAATTTTCATTTTTGATGAGCCTGCCGGCGGCTCGCGCGGTCCGCAACAGGGGGGCCATTATGACAACGGGGAACCAGAACCAATATTCCTTTTTTGGGGAACCCGTACGATTCTCCAGAAAAATTCCGAATATTTAGGCAACCTTCCTATGCAAATCATTGCTGTCCCGTATTTATTATACAGAGATTGGTAATAGATTGGTAATAGAATTATTTATATACAGAAATGGGTAACGAATTATAATCTACGATTAACGATTGAATTATTACTGTTAATCGTTAATTCTTCTGTTTTGATCATTAATCGCAATTGACAACTTGAATATTACTGTTTTAGTCATTCATCGCAATGAAGAACTGAAATATTACTGTTTTAATCAATAATCGCAATTAACAATCGAAACATTACTGTTTTAATCATTAATCACAATTAAGAATTTATATATTACGGTTAAACATTAAAATTGTTGCAATTGTTAGTCGCGATTAATAACTAAAGTAGAAATTTAATTTAGTAGCAATTTAGAAAAATATAATAAAGTAATGAACACGATGAAGACAATTCTTAACGGATTTACACAAAAATATCCTTCCAATTCTATTAAAAATTCAACGATTTTTAATTGTATCTCTCAATCGACGATTGACGATTAATTTCATCAATCGATTCGCCCAATCGTCAACTTTTCAACGACTAATGCCTTTAATCGTTTTCATCAATCATTTAATCGAATTAAAAATTTTAATCGATTAATGCCTAACACTGTCCACGTATGAAATGCTATAGTTAGATTTCGCAGTGTCCGAAATTGTTAATGGAATATTCTGCATGGAATTTCCATGCAGAATACATCAATTTTTCGGATTTTTAGGGATTCCGACAAAAATGTTATACGATAATGGAAAGATTTTTAATCACGTCTTGAGCCGTGTATTTACTATAACAGTGTTTTAAAGGCAGCTTCACCGTAATAGCGTACTCATCATTCTATTATCATTAACGGTAGAAGAGCTAAGAGGCGGATCTTTCTACTGCCAGTTACAAGAACGTTAAAAATATCTTGTTTCGCTCGTCAAGAATGTTTGTAACTAATTATTTATTGCCTTGCATCTTTCAAAATGTATGAGAGAAATATTTTCCATTTATTGAATATAATATTTCTCATGACAAATATTCTATACAATTAAAAAAAAAGAACCATTGGGTGTAAGTTAGCTTAGAGAGAAGCACAGGATTAATGAGGGAAAAATCATGTTTAAAATTTGAGAAATTTAACGACACGTTGTTTTATTAAGTCGATCAACGACCGATTATAAATAATTAAAATTATATTCTTATCTTTTCCCAAATTATTGTAAAACCATTTCTAATCTATCGGATCGAAACATTATTTAATCCAAGGCATTAACCCGTCAACATAATCTTTATATGAGAGCACGATATCAATTAAGAATAATCAGATTAAAAGATTATATCGTGATAACTAACCCACATCCGTTCCCCGTGGTAATTTCGCACAGTTTTCACAGATACCGAAGAAATAAATAATCTGTTCTATTGATCGTCTTATTAATTCTGAACCACGTGAATAATCAACGTTAAAACTTGTCCCACCTCATCTTAGATTTCCGTTCTTACATAAGGAATTTACGAAATTAATTATTTATTGTTCCATCTCATTCATTTCTTAGCATCGTGTTAATTTGATATCAAAGACCAGATTATGCTGTAGAAATGAGGGACGGACGAGAGTTCATGATGATTATGCTAGTAAAGAAGAAATTGTTTCAGGACAATATTACAAAGGAGATTTTATACATTTTTTACATAAATTTAACAATTTGATCGTATTCTTTATTTTCTCTTTTCGTAATTCATCTAAACGTATTTTTTGTCTCTAAAATTATTCAAGAACGGAATAAATGTTTATGCAGTTCCTGTCTCTTGCAACTAATGCGTAAAATGTTTGTTTCGCATAAAAATCCGCAGTCTGAATATAATTACTGAAACATTATTTAATCTGAACATTATTTTATCTGAACACTCAGATAAAATATGGCTAATAAAAATTGTATATCTGTTATATATCTGTTCATCATAAGTCTATTATATATCTAATAGACAGGTGATTCATCCGAAAACTAATTGTGATATATATAATTTTATCTATTATATATCTAATAAAATTATATATATCGCAATTAGTTTTCGGATAAATCATCTGTCTATTTTTGCAGCTCATTCAAATATTTGTTGTCGACGAACGCGTGTCTTTCTTCTTCTAGTTATTTCGTGACTAAAGATACACAAAACTTAATAGTTGGAACTAATATCTTTTGTTGGGAAATAAGAACCCCACTTTTTAAGAATCCCTAATCGCAAAAGTTTTCGCGGGAACACGGCCCGGTCCGTATTGCGTTAAGTCCTAGGTTTGAAGGCAGCCGGCGGGAACTCGATGAAAATGATAAACAGCGGTCGCAAATCAGTGGCCGGCCTTTGTCTTTCGCTTTCTCATTTTCCGCGGATCGTAAATATCGCGGCTGATTAAATATGTTTGAGCAGCGGTGTGCATAAGTGAGTGCGGGTTCCTTTTTTTTTCCTCTCCCCCGTGGCTCGCATAAATATTCCGTCCTTAAACGTACGGTATATTACGGTGAGTTACGTCGTCATTTCTCCGTGGCTTTTTAATTGTGCACCCCGCGAAATTTAGTGGGCGAAGTAGTTTTAATTACTGGAATTCACGGGAACTGAATCCCGGCTGCGGAAGCGGGGCTCCTCGGCGGCGAGGACGACGCGATCCATCTGTCGCGATTGAAGAATATCGCGGGGAAGGGAATCCGCGGGCACAGCGAGTTTTCAAAGCACTTTAACGTTCGTTCCTCGGGAAACGTAATATTCTCCGGGCGGGTCGTGGCATCAGCTTTGATAAGAAAACCAGGAAACGAGAAATATTTACACATTACGCTACACACATGTCTCGGAAGCACCGCGATCCCGGGATACGCACACGCGCAACAGGTTATTGAGACGCTTTAACAATATTCACGGAATATTCCTTTCCGTGACGTTTGATTGAAATCTATGAGATTTCTCGATTTAAATGTCGAGGCAACTGTGCGCCGATATTTCATGAAAAGGTAATTCAAATTTCGCGATACAAGGCAAATAGAATCCATGCTTTTTATGCGATTTCATCCGCGAACTGCGTGGCTGGAGTCTAGAGGATTGTTTCAAACGGTTTAAATCATTAGCAATAATGACTTGACGTGGACGAACAAAGAGGCATTCGTAATGTACGTAAATATTTTTCAAGGTTCTCATTTAAAGTATAAGTTTTATCATTATTTTTAGTTCAATAAATTTATGTCGTGTATTATAAATACGTTTGATTTTAAATGAATTATGCTTATAGGATGTATTAGATCATTAACCATGTAATACATATTTCATGTATCACAGGTACACGTGATATTAATGTATCCGTGGTTTAATTCGTTCAGAAAGTGTAGCAATACGCGTCTTTTGAATTTCACAGAGACAGATAACAAAAATGAACATTATCGTTTGCTGAAATAAAAAAGTAAAAATAGATGAGTGATGAAATCAAAAGGAACGATTGTGCGAGTTATTTGGAAGTAATTTTAATTTATTAACGTTTTGTTTTGATATAAAGTGTTCACTTTCTGAACGAATAAAAACAGGGATACATTAATTACATATTTCGCTACTGATTTCATACATAGTATAATTACTTCGATAAGCTTTCGTCAACGAGTCGTTTCAATTTTCGTTGATTTATTTACGATTCGTTTATACCCAGATTTGCTGACCAACCGTTAAAAATCATTATTTGAAAAGAGAATCGCGAGGAAGAATTTTTTGTTTTCAAGGAACACTCCATCGTGTAAACGTTTCATTAACATCTACTTAAATATCGTTTCATTTAAACCTTGTTACGATATTCATGAAATTGTTGCATTTAAGTTTTACATAGATGATATATACGTATGAATGCGCATTATATACAAATATTATACATATTATATTTGTGTGTAGAATTGATTTAAATTTATAGTAGCAATTGATTCATTACAGTATCCATTGGAAGATACAAACAGAGCACAAATTGTTATTAATTTACAATGATCTTACATTAATACGAAATATTAATTTCGTAGTCAATTAATTACTCACCTGTCCTCCTTCGCGCACCATGACATCGCCCGACGTCTCCTCAGGAATGAAATCAGGTGGCACAACGATTGACAGCACACCTGTCTGAAAGAATATACTTCTTGAAACGATATTTAATAAAAAATAGATTGGGAAACTAGTGCTAATATTACGTATAATGTCCGTAACTCTATAGCTTAATTTATATTTTCCGAGAGAAGTAGTTGAATTGGACTAGTTTTATATATTCTATTATATGTATGTATTACATATTATATTATATATTATTAATATATAATATATTATATTATACGACAACATATTAATTGAGATTAGAATATATAAATATAATATATATCATATATCAATAATATAAAATATATTATATATCAATAATATATATTATATAATATATTATATATTATATATCAGTATTATATTAATTATTATTAATTATTATTAATTATTATATTATTATATATTACTAATATATAATATATTTTATATTATTAATATATGATATATATTATATTTATATATTCTAATCTCAATTAATATGTTGTCGTATAATATAATATATTATATATTAATAATATATAATATAATATGTAATACATACATATAATAGAATATATAAAACTAGTCCAATTCAACTACTTCTCTCGGAAAATATAAATTAAGCTATAGAGTTACGGACATTATACGTAATATTAGCACTAGTTTCCCAATCTATTTTTTATTAAATATCGTTTCAAGNATTCTAATCTCAATTAATATGATGTCGTCGTGTTACAAGTGAGCGATGAATTTCTTCTCGAAAATAAGTGGAGGCTTCGTTGCAACGAAATTATCAATAAACAATGTTGAAGATTAGAGTGCGAATTTTATGCATTTATGGCAAAAATGAGTAGTTAAGAAGAATGTATTAATATATTGTTACATTATTTTCGAATTATCAGAATTATTGAGAGGAAAAATTTATTTTCGGTTTCTTAGAATCGATTTGGCAAAATTTTGTTTTGCATAAAAATCCGCAATCTATTGAATGATCGTTGACAATCGGCAATTATAAAAATGGGCCGCAAGGCTCGAATAATCGTATCTGTTCTTTAAAAATTATCCATTTTTGTGTACCATTTCTGAGCGCCAATTAGGAAAAATTTACTGTACACACGCGCAAGCATAAAATTTCATCTACGTTACATAAATCTCGCAGAGTAACCATAAATCTTCAAAAATTCCGTGACCTACATCGCGAACCAGGTGCAAGTCATTAACATTTCATCATTTCCTTTGCGATCATCGAAAACTTGCGAGAGCACGAACGCCGCGTCTCCCAAGGAAACCTTACGAAAATGTATGCTGCTTTTAGAACGGCAACCTATGAGAATTGTAGTGCATACGTAGAAATAGTAAATTGCTCGAGCAAAATTCAACGAAGTCTTATAAGAGACGCAACAAGAGTGCTGCTGTTGTTATCGTTAGGCTGCGAATTTTATGCATTTATGATAAAAACGGGTAAGTTTCGGTTCGATTATTTCCAACCGATTGAAAATATTGAGAATGAAAATGAATGATGCAACTCCTGTTCGTTGCAATCGAAATATCGAATTTTTCATTTTCTTTTAGTTTGCGCGGAGATCCGCTGGCTACTTAACGTATTTTCAAGATTAAAATTTTATGCCTCATAAAATCTGTATCGACACACAATGGAACTTCGATTATCCGATGTAATTAAGAGGACATAGTGCTACACTAAATCTGTATTGATTTACGTGTTGGGCGTATAATACCTGGTCAAGAGAGAATTCTGAAAATTGTGGTACTCTAATTTTATAATTTTATGATTCTACAAGTTTATAATTTCATAATTTACTATTAATTTTGTAAAAACCGTAATTCTACAGCAAGCTGTATTTAAACAAACTAATTATTTCCAATTATAAATAATATAATTATTTATATTATATTTATATTTTAGTATATATTTAATATATTTTAATATAATTATTCACTGTCTAATTTCCATGATATCAAGCACTAAAAATGCTTAATTTTTCTCACAATATTAGATTGCAGTTATTTAGACATCGCGCAATTTTAATTTGAAAAATATGCTGCAATAAGGAGATTCGATGAATAATTTTCTACGATCTCAAAATTATAAAGTTTTAATAATTCTACGATAGAGAATCGAAAATTATATTTTACATATAAATCGTCAATTTATATATAAAACGTTTCTTTTTATGCACGATCTTAAACCGAAGGCACAGAAATTGGGACACCCGCCCTAGTGGCGTTTGAAACTAGACCGTGCAATTTCAGAGCGTTACGATACGGTCACGCTAGGTAAGGACGTCGTGAAATGTAATACGCTTCACATATTACTTCAAAAAATTCCCACGACGGAAAAAGTAGTCGTGCCTATTTTGGGGTTGTCTTCCTGCTACAGCGAAACATACCCGGTGAACGGGTTAAAAAGGCGCTCGAACATCTCCGCGAGCCACTGAACGCTTCCGCAACGTCGCCGCGACGAAGTAGTTTCGCAGTGCGAAACCAGGCGTAGAATAGCTGCTAGCATCCTGCGCAACGTTTCATCCCTTGCGCCAAAACTCGTCGGCCCCGGTATATATTTTCCGGTACGCACCGGTACGGGCCAGAATTTAATGTTAATGATACGCTTAACGGCTGCACAATGCATCAAGTAAATTTCCTTTCTTACCGAATCTCTAAATTATATCCGTGCACATTACTCTATTCGCGGGAGCGGGACTGAATAACAAGCGGGAGCCCCTAAATCCTGGCTGTATTTCGCTTCCGACTCCCTTAGCCTCCCACCCACACCCACGGGGGAAGCAGGAGCAACATATCACGGGGGTTGTAAGCGACACGAGGAGACGGGAGGTGGTCGACTCCGGGGGTTGCCGGTGCGGGCCGCTGCCAATGAGCGCCGCCGCGGCTTTTCATTAATTAACGACAAGCCGCGCTGCGATATAATAAGTAACACGGTCGACGCAGTTCCCGTTCGCGACCGATTCCACTGTTGCCTAACAATCCGCCGTGGAATTTTTCACTACGTCGAAGCAATCGCCGTTAACGCGGACCAGAGGGTGCGAGCGAACAGTGGGCTATTCGCCGGATTTAGCCGGTCAAAATTAACTTTCTTTACTTAACCCATCGAAAATATACCAGCTGACTTATTTATACAGTCTGTTACCCTAGAAATAATAATCTTAGAGAAATAAAAATAATTACGAACGAGTAAAAATAATTCTGAACGAATAAAAATAATAATAAATAAGTAGAAACTACTAAAAAAATATTAAAATCTGTTGCAAGTTATCAAAAGTTATCGAGAGTATGAAAAGAAGCTGAAAATAATTAAAAATTGTAGAAAACAATCTTGTACTTTGGTTTTGTCTCGTTCAATAATTCGCAGGCTTGTACAGCGAATTTTTCCCGATGTTGCGCGACGTGTGTCCCTTTTTATTGCGATTCTCATTGAGCCGGAAGGCAGATGGCCCGAATATAAATGGCCATGTCTCTGCATGGAATGGAGAAACGGAAAGAAAATGTGCGGTTCACTGTTCCCCGGTTACTTATCTGTTCCAGGTAAGAACTCATTTCCACCTAGGACGAGTTTGACAAAATCGACTTTTGGCCGGCTGAACCCGGCAAATGGTCCACTCCGCGTCGCCGGAAAGAGAAAGAGAAGAAGGGTGAAACGGGAGGGGTGGTTTCGGGGTGGAGGGTGCAGGTCGCGCGGTGGGGATGGTAAAGTACGAAACGTCGGAACGGATTCTCCTTTCTTCTCTCCCGGGGCTAACGTTGAATCGGCCGCGAAACTGCTTGTTCATTACGTATTTGCAGCGCGATTTCTCTTCCGACTAAGGGAGATTTGAGTAGTTGACTTTCATCGGCTGCGAGATATTCCCTTAAGAGGCGGGGCCGGTCCACGGGGATTGAAAAAGTGTCTTTTCCCTGTGCTTCTTCAGCGTCTGAATTGTGCGTTCGACCTCTTTGTCGGTGATTGCAGGGTTGTTTTATTTGTCGATAAATATTTCGCTGCTGGCGATCGTTTCGCCTCGCCTCGCCTCGGCTCGGCGTCCCTGGCTGAACGGTTTTATGAATCTTACCGGATGGAGACGTAAACGTCGATTGTGTTTCGAACGGTCGAGGCTGATGACGCCTTTCGACGCGACGAGTTTACGCTCGGCGACGTTGCACGTGGCCGAGCCGCGGAACGTCGTGGGCTAATCGGTTAATTGCGCGCATCGATTGCGACGGATCAATGGAAATTTCTTTGTTTTCCCAATATTTTTTTACGAGTCGATAGGATAGTGGAGATATTATACTGGAGATATTCATAATAGTCGGACGAAATTTCGTCTCAAGAAGTTTTTCCACTCCTGGCATCGTTCTCCGAAGGAGCAGCAGAATTGTATTTTTGCAAAATTTCAAACTTCTCTCAATTTTCGACTTGCCTAACTTCTCTTGTTAACCTCTTACCTCTGTACACCTATTATCAACTTTGTACATATTTTATCGATCGCACTGTGCGCAGCTTCTTCGGCATGCTCTTCTAAAGTCATTCCAAAATGTCGGAACAATACGAAAATTTTCATCGAAACGGATGATCGATAAGGACCATCAAATAAAATTTTATTCGATGCTATCGATTGAATCTCCAATCGAATATAAATTTATATAGATAAAAATGTATCCGAATAAGAAGTCATTCAAATAAGATTTTATTCGAATAAGAAGTCATTCAAATAAGATTTTATTCGAATAAGAAGTCATTCAAACAAAATTTTNTCTGAATTGTGCGTTCGACCTCTTTGTCGGTGATTGCAGGGTTGTTTTATTTGTCGATAAATATTTCGCTGCTGGCGATCGTTTCGCCTCGCCTCGCCTCGGCTCGGCGTCCCTGGCTGAACGGTTTTATGAATCTTACCGGATGGAGACGTAAACGTCGATTGTGTTTCGAACGGTCGAGGCTGATGACGCCTTTCGACGCGACGAGTTTACGCTCGGCGACGTTGCACGTGGCCGAGCCGCGGAACGTCGTGGGCTAATCGGTTAATTGCGCGCATCGATTG